TCCCTTGACCTGCTGGCCACGCTTCTTGTGATGCAGCCCAGGATACGGTTGGCCTTCTGGGCTGTGAGCGCGCATTGCTGGCTCATGTCCAGCTTTTCATCCCCCAGTACCCCCAAGTCCTTCTCGGCAGGGCTGCTTTCAATCCCTTCATCCCCCAGCCTTGTATTGATACTGGGGGTTGCCCTGACCCAGGTGCGGGACCTTGCACTTGGCCTTGTTGAACCTCATGAGGTTCACAGGGGCCCACTTCTCGAGCTTGTGAATTTATTGGATGATCTTTCTCATTCTGCCATCAGTTCGAGCAGTCCATTAAAACAGTCATTGCAAATGCACTGTGTGCTGGAGTCAGAGCTGATCACATGCTGGCATTTAGTTTTCTTGATAAAGAATAGAGGAAATAGCGTAAACAAGTATGCTTGATTACTTTCCCACCCCCGTTCATCCATTTCTGAATCATGTTGGATTAACAACACATTTGAGACAAAGATACTGAATTTTATTAGCATTGCTTGCTCACTGGTGTCATTATTAAATGCTACATTATTAGCTACTGGGGTATAAGCATACATTCTTCCTGTACCATTCCTCAGAAAATAAGCAAAAGCCAAATTGTTTTGCGGCATACTGAAACCAGTGCTGACTTTATGCAGCAGATGTTCATCTAGCCACGCATGTAGATGATTTCATAGATGGGGCGAGTGTGCTCACCAATCACACACATTGCTTTTTTTTCCTCCAGCACTGAATCATCATCTCTCCTTAACTGTATTTTTTTAAAATGGAGAAAGTAGAGCACTGTGCAAACACTCGTGACCTTTCCTGTCTTTAACCAACATTTTTTTAATGCCCCAATTCCAGGCTGACCTCCTTTTTCAGAGCTATCTTTGGAACTCAAATAATACTATGAAAATACATTTGTCAGCTTCACGATTAGTGCTTTAATGGTGATTTTCTTTCACTGCTTATTTTCCCCCTGCTGTTCATATTATGGCAATTTCATTTTTATGAACACAGAAAATGGTAAAGGAAAATCCAGTTTATTTCTTTAAATTTACCTCTATTTTGAAGACATTTCTGAGGGCTGCACTTCATGTGTGTCTTTAAAACTAGAGAACTTGCAAGACTACTTGAAGCTTTTGTTTGGTCTAAGGAAGAGAGTAGGAGTTACTTGCTTTGCTGTCACTATCTTAAACAGCTTCAACAGCTCTGCACATCTAAACTAGCTGCAGCACTAATACTAATAACACACAGTTCACAGGAAATCACAATCAGCAATACGGCTATGTTTAAGAAAAACAGACATGTAGAAATATTAAGCAGCTTGTGGTGTGAAGGTCAAAATTACTAACATGCTCCTTGTTGTGGAGATGGGAGAACACGCTGTGTCTGGTACGCTGTGATATTGTGCTATCACGAAACAAAACTTCCTACAATCCTTTTTTAAATTTCAAGCCTCACCTCTGTCATCTCATGGTGCTTTCCCCCACTACAGTTGTCACAGCAGTGTAAAAAAAAGGCAGTTTATCATTGCAGGGGGTTCCTGAATCATGCATGCTGTTACATCAGTGTCCTCCCACTGAAACTGGCTCTAGAATATTGCTCACTGGCATGGTGGTTAGGTTTGCAGAAAATATACTCAAGCAGGCTATGTACATTCAAAGCTCCTCTGTATCAATATCAACTACTTTGCAAGTTTGCTCCAGGCCAAATGGTGAATAGAACAAGTGACATTTTTATATATATAAAAGTATATATATAATATACCCTATATATACACCCTAATATACCCTTTATAAATATAAGGTACTTGACATCTTTTTACGGAACTGAAAAATCAGTGTTGATGGGATTTTTTAGAAAGAACAAATCATATTCTCTGCCTTCTAGAAACTGAGTACTAATTTTGAAAATTTGTTTGACTAGTCTCTTAAATTTAGTGGGGCTAATTGCGTAAGCAGGCCATTTCTGAGATTGGTCTTGATCATTGCAATATAAGTACTCTTCAAAAATTCCATCAGTATTCCTGTATAAAATCTGCAGATATAAATGTGAACATTGTCTTGAAATTAGAACAGACGTTGTTCTAATTTCTAATATATAATAATATATATTAATACTAATATATAATACTAATAATATAGTAATACTAATATATTTTATGTATAACAACTGGTCCTATCTGGGAGTGTATGCACACTCCTTTGCATAATTCATATTTGCTAACTCATTTTCATAAAGTTGATCTAGTCTGTTGATTTAAAAAATTGTAAGCTGTTGGATATTCTCTAATTCGGGGATTTTCAGATGGGAAGGAAAAACAACCAGCTTCTACATTTGTTTTTGTATCCCACTGAGGAGGAGCTAATAGTGTCTCTCAAAGATGACATGAATGCAATGAAGATTTTGTTCTGCAATGAACAAAAGCAGGGTGGGTCAGTTTACCAATATTCTGTATTCCCCCTGTTTTCTCTCATGAGCAGTGCATATAATTAGAGCTTAAAAAAATAAGTGTGGCAAAACTATCCGGTTACTGGAATCAACATTTCTTTTACCTGCATATTGCATAGTGCATTGAATACATGCAAATGAAATTTGAGACAGATAATGGAGGCTTTCCTTCAATGCCTGGTTTTGTAGGTTGATTCAAGGCTCTCCACCACCCACATTAAAGCTGATGCCAAATATTTCAGTTGTTTCGAGTGAGCTGTTCTCCAGACATTTATATTTCTCTAATTGTGTCCAGGTGCATGAAACTTGTCCAAAGCTTTTGCTTGCATAACTGGTTTAAATAATAATAAAAAAAACTACCCTTCTTTTTTGTATTTGTGTGATTTACACCACAGTAGTCTATGGGCACATGGGATTAGCTTTTTGCTCAGCTGGGCTGGGTCTAGCCTGAGCCACACATAGCTAATGCTGTCCACCAGGCAGCGTAAAAACAAGGGAGGAATAAATGGAAGAGTAATGTTCAAGCCTCTTCAGCAGGCAGTTTGTGGTAAGTATTTCTAACTGACTGTAGAAATCATTGACAGGAAAAAGATACTCCCCCATAATTAGAGCTCTTTCTCTCCCAGTGCACAGAACCCTTCAGGGGTCTCAAGTGTAAGGTAAAACTAAGCCAGATTTCTTTGTCTAGAGAAGGAAAAAGATTATTTTAATTGTGTTCTTTTAATTTCATTATGTTGTTTGTCATCTAGAAGGATATATTGATCCAGATGACATTCCCTATTGCATGACAGATAATACCATAAAAAGATGTACATTTTAGTCCAGACTGTTTTGTAAAATTGAAACCAAAAGAACCGAATCCTTGAATCTCCTGATATTCTGAAAAAGTTAGTCTTTCCTCTGTAATCACTACAGTAACACATATGCATATGGTGTAGCCATTGTTCATCGTATGTTTCTCTGCGTATGTAGTAGTACTCCTGTCTTCTGTATAGCCTTACTTATGCACTTTACCAAGGACTGGACAATCTGTCCCTGCAATTCCTTTCTTGGGTCCAAAAGTATCAAATGAGTGCTCAAACTTTATAATCGAACTCTAAAAACCTAATATACATCAAAGCAATGAGTTGTTTCACTTCCTAGGTTCTGTGGAGAGCTCAGCATCTGCCTCATGTTGCGGTTTTCCCTCTGGCTCTGAAGGGAAACTCGACTTCTAGCATTACAAAAAAACCTTTATCCACTGTATGGCCTGGGTAATTAGTCACATTTTGAGGCCCATGGATAATTGCCAAATGAGTAGACATCGGGTTTGCAAGTCGGACAGAATGTTCTTGCTAATGTGCCTCAAGGAGAAAGGCAGACAGTGTTTTCCAGCTTCTGTTTATGACCCTTCAATGTAGGAAGCTGCAGGGGGGCTGTTTGTCCTGTTTTAAACTAGGCAATGAAAGATAAAAGGATGTAAGTTTAAGGCAAACGTGTCGCATTTACATAGGGCAGACTGTTCCCGAAGGTGCACTGGAGGCATATGCCTTCAAGGTTTGTAACAGTGCTGTGTTCCTCCAGCAGTAAGAATACTTGCCTTGTAAGTGGTCAGCAGGCATTAACTGTTAATGGAACATAGTAATTAGTTAAAACAGAAGTATTCACTGGTCTGTATTTTTTTTCACAGAAGTTGAAAAGACCAAATGCCAGCATGAACAAGAAGTAGCTCTTGGAAGTGGAGGCACTTTCTTCCCAAGGGAGATAAGAGTTGGTCACTTCATTCCCCAGTGTGATGAGCATGGGCATTACCTACCCACTCAGTGCCATTCTAGCAGTGGATATTGTTGGTGCGTGGATAGGGACGGAAATGAGATTGATGGCACCAGAAGCGGCCCAGGAGTTCGACCACCGTGTAAGTGGCTGAAGCACTTGTTTCTTGTGGGTGTCTCTTGTTTCTTGTGGGTGTCTCTCCACCCAAGTGCACTGTCTCCCAAATGTGGGGCTTAGTCATGCCCCTGAGATACAGCGCTGACTTGGAGCAACGCAGATCTTTGCTGTCCCAGTGATGATATGCCTCGTGCTGCAGCCCTTTGGTAACTCCAGCATACGCTTTTCCTTCAGCCAGGGCCTCTGGACAACTGTGGTGAGCCTCTGAGTAAGATGGTTTTCTAACTTCTTCCCTGCCTTGAAACTGTGAGAGGCCCCTATAGTTTCTGCCCTCTGGGAGCTGTGGCAAAACTGAATGTGTGGTAACTGACTGTTGCCTCAGGAAATGAAGGAAGTTCCTTCCTACATCTTCCTCACTTCAGCTGCAAAATAAGATAGGCTTTTCTAAACATTTGAAGGAAAGGGCAATTACAGAGCTGAACATGGAAAGACCTATTATGTCAATTGCTCCTTCTCTGTCAGCCAAGGGGAAAAAATTCAGAAGCTTTCTGCATCTGATTATAGTTATTAGTGTCTGCTTACAGGGCTGTTTCCTTCTAAGAAGTCTGACTGTAATTGTGCCTCTGCAAATAACAAGGAGCCTTGTAGCGCTGTACACGCTAATTTTTTCCCCATCTGTTTCCTTCTCTATGAACAAGGTCTGAGCACAGCTGCTCCTCCTGTTGTTATTGGGCCCTCTGTTCGACCAGATACAGTACCTCTGCCGCCAGGAACGCACTTGCTCTTTGCCCAAAGTGGCAAAATTGAGCATGTTCCATTAGAGGGAAACAGCATGAAGAAAAATGGTGCAAAAGCACTCTTGCATATTCCAGTAAGTGACCTACTATACTAAATCTATGTGTTTTAGAAGACTTGTGTCAAAGATGAGAATGTTTGTATATGTAATTTGATAATTTAAGTTCCAAACTCAATTTTTACTCTTGATTAAGATGTCAGTATCCCATCACTTTGTCACTGAAAATTCCTGACCTGACTAGTCAAAAAGCCTAAAACTGAGCTATAGAAAAACATTATTTGCCTTTAAAGAATAGCTCATAAGACAAAAATCTAATATTTGTAATCTCACATGCCTCCAACAGCTCATCACATAAACACTCCTACACTCACACTTCCATTGGCTTTCTGACTCTGGTGTGAAAGTCTAGGAGACCTACAAGAGCAGTATGTGGAGAGGCCCTTTTTTCCCCTCTTACTCCCTCAAAGTTTTTTCCTAAGTCTTAATCTCTTCCTGTTTTTCAGTCAATTCTCTGCACTTCTTGGCTACAGAGATATATATAGATTTTTTTTTTTCTTCTTTTTTGCTTTCTTCTCCATGTGCAGGCCCAGTGGGTGGTAAATCTTTTCCCCACACTTCTTACTACTGTCTTGAGAATCTTTTTTCCTTGAAAATGAATCCCTGATGCTGAGAACCTATCCTTTCCATCATCTGTGACACACACCAACTCTTCTCACTTCCAGTTTCATCACATTCATTTGTTTTGCCTGAAGCCTGGGATTTCTATTTTCATTCCAGTGTTACTGTATTTATAATAGATAGCAATACCAGGTAGCATGCTGGCCTCCTTTTTACATCACTGTGAATATTTAGTAGACCAAATACTGACTAAATTACAGAGACTCATTTCAGTAAATAGTACCACAAACTGTGCTGTGATGTACAAGCAAAATCAAGCTTTTGTGTCATCTAAAGTGCTGCTGCAATAATGTAAAAATAAAGTACTGTGTGCAAAATGGGGTAGTTAAGGCTGATATAGAGACATGATTCTGAATCCTTGTCAGCTAGTCTCATTATTTACTTGATCTAGCTTAAATGAATTAATTAGAAGTATCTTCAGGAAAGAGCTTCCAAGAGATAAGATGCAACTCTTCATTAAAACTTTCAATTAAAATTAAACTTTCAGTCTCTGCTAACAGTGTTGTCTGTGTTGTGTATTTACAAAGTGACAGTGTTTAGTAGCATAGAAGTGTTCAGATTGTTTTGCAACCTACAGCATTAATGTATGCTGATCAGTAAGTGCATCTGTTTTAATGCACGGTTTTGGACCATCTTTCTAAGAAGTTGCAAGTTACAGAAGCAGTAAAGGTGATAGACCTGGGAATCCATGTGTAATTATTGTTTTACGGTGAAAGTCTCTTTCATTTGCCTGGAGGAAAGAGTTTCAACTCTAAACTCAAACTCTAGTCTTATCTTCTTCTGCCTGTAAATTGCATATATATGTTCCTTGTCCCTGAGTATATTCTTTCCAGCAGAATGATTTATGAAGTATTTGTTTAAGCTATTTTTTATTTTAAAAACTCACTTTGCTAGAACTTTTTTGAGTCAAATGATGCTACGTAGGTAGCACTGCTGAAATGTAGCCATCATGCGTGGGTTGATGAATTTGCAGAATACAAGTCAGATTTGATAGAAGTCATTATTCCTCCTTGAAGGGAAAGAATGAGAGAAAAAAACACATGAGGAATAACACAGTAAAATAACAACATGAACTTTCTTTAAATGGATATGCAGGTGAAGTTGTAGAAGTGAGACCAACTGTTCAGTACTAATATCTACAATACTTCTTTGAAATAAGATAATTGTAAATGGTGTCTGCTAGTTAAAAGGGACTTATAACTGAAAGTATTTTTCTAAGCTATGCTACAATGACTGCCACCCAATCATTTTCTCTGCCTATCCTCCCCATGTCCCATCTTTCCTCAAGAATTTTGTTTTTTCAGGCTTGAGACTTAGATCCATAAGCTAGTGCTGCTGGCAAATAATTGTTATTTAGCATAAGCTGATGTAATTTGCTTGTTGACCAACAGGACAAAGTTGTTATTGGAGTTGCTTACGATTGCACGGACAAGATGGTTTATTGGACAGACATCAGTGGCCCTTCGATCAGCAGGGCTAGCCTGCATGGTGGAGAACCAACAACCATCATCAAAACAGGTAAGAGCACAAAATTCTTCCTCTTGCTACTCCCTAGGAATGGCATTAGAGACTTGAATTTAGTAATATATACTTCCCAGGTGTTGCCTGAGCTGTAGCATTACAAGTTGGTGTTATTTGGATAAACAATAACCAAAAAGTCTGGATAACATAAAATGAAAAAAGATCTGTTTCCTATGCAATAGCCCTTCACTGCCTTTCCACTGCTAAGACAGGCAAGAAGTCGGTTGTCTTTAAATAAATTAAGTTTAAGGCCAGAAGTGGGAGCAGCATGTCAGTGAGATGTTTCTGTCCTTACTTGCAGTTGCAGGATAGTGTACCTGTCTAACCATTGAGTGTCTTGTGAACATCACTGGGAACGTTTTAATTGAAGGCTGAGGGATTTGAAAGATGAATCAAGCTGCTGTGGCGGTTTTAAAGCATATCTCAAGGCACTAATTGGGTGCAGGGTTCAGAGCCTCACAGTCTGGGCTTTGGACAGTGTCTCAGATCCTCACAGAAATATTTAGAGGATTTTTGTAGCCGATTACAGTCCTAGGCTGTGCTTGTATTCTTTCTGTGTTTAACAAAGAAAAAAAAAAAAACAACCTTCCTTTGGATGCTTTGTCACTTCTGGGGAGGAATCTTGAGGTAGTCTTGAGGCCTTTACTGCTCTTCCTTAGGGTGCCGTTATAGTGGGGCAGCACAGCTAGTACTCTCAGGGCAAATCCCCAGGTCATGACATCCCAGATATTTAAAGCACACTCAAGACCTCACTTTCCTGTGTTGAGGATTGGCTGTGCTATGTTGTGCCCAGCCTGGCAGTCTTTGTGTAGCCTACTTCTTTTATAGTCACATCTTGTCAACCATAGTGATCAGAAAGGGTGGTCCAGCATCCTTCCTGAAAAGGTCCCATGTCCCTGGCCATGAGGAATGGAACACATAGGTAGGCTAAGCTCTGACTACTGTAGGTAGACGTTATTCATGCTCACAATGATGCATTGGCTACAAGATGTAAATATGTGAAGAAGGAAGGTTATCATTAAAACCTAGTTCATGTGCTGGGGTAGACCCATCATTGTTCAATGTATTTATGATCTGAAAAGGGAATGATGGATTGTCAGTTTGCTGTTGAATGGGTATTGAACACAACCAAAACTAAAGCTGACTAAAAAGTTGCATTTATATGTTCACATGGAATATCATCTGTGGGTGTCACTCTTTGATTTTTTGTTCTGGCAAGCAAGGTAGTTAATCCACTGGCTAGCTGAGATTTGGTTATGTGTAGTCCTTTTCTCTGCTGTTCTCTGCCTGTCAGCTGCCTGCTCTGCTGAGAAAGGACTGGTGAGCAGGGAGGTTGAAGAGAACCCCTGCGCTCGGCTCCTGGGCTTGGGGATCAAACAGCTGAAAGGTGGTTAGAAACTGTTTCAGCTGTGACTTTCCATGCCTCCCACTCAAGTTGTAAAATAAAAGTGAGTAAAGCCACCTTGTTTGGTTTTTGCCCTTGGGGTTGCTCAAGGATTCAAGAATTGGACTAGAGGGTATTGTGGGGTTAGTGCTTTTACAATTTATGTCCTGTTCTTATACATTTTCCCCCAAGCCTCTGCTGCTCACTGCAGTCCATGTTCATTTTCATTAAAAGGGTAGGTGTAAGCCCATGCATCTTAAATATGAAAACCTTTTTCAAATGGAAAGGGTTAAGGGAAAGGACAGGTTTGGAGAACAAAGTGAACGTGGGGGCATTAAAAAAACAACAAAAATAGCTGGAGGCACTTTTTGAATACTAGTGTCCTCAGGATCCTAGAACACCTGTGAAGTCAAGATACTGGAGGAGGTCCCACTTGCTTTGGATCCTTTGCAACTATTGTCACAAAAATTTAGGAAATTATTTTAGCAAAATGATCAACCAGTTTTAAAACTCTACAATAAATTTGCTTTAGTTTTCTTTGGATGCATTGAGTATCTCTACCTGGAGTTTGTGCTTCGGAATAGCCAGTTTGCTAGGACTCCATTCAGGCTCTTAGGGGCAGTGGAGAGATGGGGGCGGCTTGGATCCTACCATTATCCTGGGAAGGGGAAAGGGAGAGCTTAAGGCCATCTCTAACCATTCCAGCAATTATGGAGCTTCATATTTCTGTACAACTTGATGGCTGAGATATTTGTAAGACTTCTTTTTCATCCCAGCATATTTAATCTGAAAGGGACTCTAACCTGTAGTGCAAGCATGTGCCTGTACAACCACAAATTCTGTGGGGAAAGGATTTCCAATTTCCACTATTAAAGTATTTTCTCAGATTCTGCACTTTAAAAAGTGAGGGAAGTTACTATTGCTAAAAACTTTATATGGATATGAATTAGTATCTAATGAGAGTGTGTGTGCAAGCATTAAAAATCTTGCAATAAAGATATAAATATTGTATAAAATATTTTAAAAATATTTGTGAAGGCTTTCAACTAAATTTGATTATTTTAGGTAATTCAAGATGCTTCAATGCCACATGGCTTTTATCTGCTACAAAAAACATTGCATGTGTAAAGACATCTCAATTTCTGTTGTTCTGTCGTTTGTATAGGAAGTGAATGCCATTCCTGAAGAGATGTTAAGCAATGTTGCACTCTACTTTCTGTATGTTAACTGGCTCTTCAGTAAGGAGTCAGAACAAAATAAGGTTGAATAGTCACTGTTTGAATGGATGTCTTCTGTGCTGGCCAAAACTGAAACTTTAAAATTTCAGGAAATGGGAAAATGCCTCCCTCTCAGAAGACTTTGTTTTGTTTTGATCTTTGCCTTTTTCTTCCTGTGAGCTGCAGCTGCTTTCTTCAGTTCACATGTATTTTTGTGGAATGCACTTTTTTTTTGTTTGTTAAAGCTCTTGTGATCCAAGTTGGGTTGCTTTGCAGAAACATGTTTTATTGTGGAGCCCCATCCAGTTCTCATCTATCCCTGCAGCTGTATAGCCTGTGGAGGCTTTCTGAGCTCCGCAGCTGTGGAGGCAGGTCGGGAAGGAGAGCTTTCCTCTTTGTTGTAGGTGCTTAAGTCATATCAGCCGTACATGTCTGTACAAGCCTGTCCCCAGGGACAGAGCCTGTGACTGTATCAGGCCTGATGACAATATAACAGGAACGTATTTGTGCCTCTGGAAAGACTGGTGATACATGAAGCCTACATATTCCCTTACCCCTCCATGGGGGATAGTTTTTTCTGGCTCATTGTCAACCAGACAGGAAAGACATTTACTTTAGACTTCCTTAAATCTCTTGGCATGTAGCTGAAGCAAGGAGACTGCTCAGGGAATAGGGGCTCCTGGGAATCAGTGGCAGCAGATCTTTTGCCTGCTACCTTCTCTTTCCTAAAATAGGCTGGGAGCATCTCCACCACCATTTAGTCAGTCACCTTCTGATCCCGGAGACTCTCTGGGGACTGTCGCCACCATCACCTCAAAATGAGGCCACCCTCAGCAGCCTCTGCCATTGGCAAGAGAAGAAGTAGGAACATTTGAGGATCTGAAATATATGTGAGGTGGTTTCTTGCAGATGACAGGTTTGGCTCCACAGAGGCACTTGGTGAAATACAAGTAGTAATGTGAAGTTAGGGCAACTAGGTTAAAGTATGCCCAAGTGCCCTTGGGAAGCGTGAAGAGAGAACTGATTCACATTTTCTTTCTTGGGCTGCCCCGTGTATGAGCTGTGAGTCAGAAGCAGTGAGATACATCTTATTTGTTCTTTCTACCTCTTCAGAAATGAACATACACCCAAAATGTCATGTGTCCAGGTTAAGCGCAGTAAGTGTAATCCACCCATGTGAAAGAGCAGAGGCTGTTTAGGCTATTGTGCAACTATTATTCATAGCAAAGTCACAGTAGCAAATTTTAGACAGCTCTATCCAGTGCTCTGGGCCAAATGCCTTTTCTCCAGAAAGGTTGTTTGTGTCACATATTGTTTGTTTAATGGCTGTCAGTAAATAAACGTGAGAATTAATAGAAGGCTTAACAGGCCACATTCATAGAATCATAGAATCATTAAGGTTGGAAAAGACCTCTAAGACAATCGAGTCCAACCGTCAACCCAACACCACCATGCCCACTAAACCATGTCCCTAAGCGCCTCATCTACACGTCTTTTAAATACCTCCAGGGATGGGGACTCAACCACTTCCCCGGGCAGCCTCTTCCAATGTTTAACCACTCTTTCAGTAAAGACATTTTTCTGTCATTCTTGGACATTCACATGATGTGCATTTGAAAGGTGGTTTTTTTTGACAGCTGGCTGGTATGAAGGGTCACTTCACCTCTTTTTGGGAGTGGCCACGTACAATTCTTTCTATTTCTTTTGGAGCTGAAATTGGAATAAAATTGATTTGTACCTGTCTTTGGCTTCATTACATCCCATACCGCCTGCCTGCTCTTTTTCAATGGATGTATGAACCTTGAAAAGTATAGAGCAGTTTTTCACAGTGGCTGAATTAAACCTTGGAGTGCTATATATTTATTCTGCATCCTTCATCTGAGTTAGAAATTACTAATGCTAAAGCAGTAAGGTCATTATCTGCTATTTCCTGTTGCTTTTGGAACAACAAACTGTCCAAGAAAAACTGTGCACATACAGTACTAAAACATGTTCCAAAAAGGATTGCTCTGCAAAAACAAAGAACTGGATCTAAATTCCATCAGTTAGCTAATGTAATTATCTCTAGTGCTTTGGAGCTTGATTATCTTTAAGTATTGCATTGGCTAAATTTAGCATAAATCTAGTTTTCAGAGGGGTGCCACATATGCCAGTACCAGAGAAGGGGGAATATTAGGGATTATAAAATCCATTCTAGATCCTGGCCTGCTAAGGAAGGTAGAATAAGATCCTGAATATCTCTACTGTTTATTTCTCTATCAACTCTTTTTCTGTGTCCACACCACAAGGCAAGTTTACATGCAGATTTGGGATGCATGATGAGTTGGTTCCTAAATTTATCATTCTATGTATCTGTGAAAGTTCTGTGTATTTAAACTTCATAAGGCAAAATGCATATTCCTCTTACAATATGCATGAAGTAGCTTTTGTTGGACCACAGCCAGAAAACTGAAAGAAAATTTAGTTAAGAGTTGAGAATGCTTATGAGGCTGACATTGTATATGGGGAGTAAATATCATGCCTGGGCATGTTTTTCCTCTGTTCTCTTGCAGACTTGGGAAGCCCTGAAGGGATAGCTGTAGATCACCTAGGTCGCAACATCTTCTGGACTGACTCTCAACTGGATAGAATAGAAGTGGCTAGGCTGGATGGGCGCCAGCGTCGCATCCTTTTTGACACTGGCCTGGTGAACCCCAGAGCAATTGTTGCAGATCCTATGAGAGGGTATGGATATGTTGTCAAGATATATGTACAAAGCTTGATTTCTATTTATTTATTTATTTATTTAACATGAGCATGTGCTCTGTGTCCATGTTTTTAGGCTGTCTGTAGACAATAATAGGACTATCTTTTCCTAAAACAACTAACAAACAAAAATGGAACAACCTACTTGTGTCCTGTGTCTGAGTGGTACACTGGAAATAAAACTCCTTCTAAAATGCCCGCTACGTAATACCATGATACTTTGTTGAGAGGTTTGTCAAATACTTGTTTGTAACTTGCTTTCAGTACATTGTTTGCAGGATGACAAGCGTTGCACTTCCCTAAAAAAATTTTTTTTTGCAAGATTACTGGACTAAAATACCAGATTAAGCAATTTGATATTTTAATTTCCATCATGACAGCCCTTCTTCCTGTACAATGTTCCTTCTTTGAAAACTCCCATGGTGTCTCTTCTGTCATTCAGATGCCTGAGAAGGTCCTATTAGGCTTCTATTTGAAGATGCAGATAACGACATACTTTAAAAATTGAGCCTGTAAGCTGCAGTCACAGAAATAGCCAAGCAGAGTGTCAGTAGGAAAGTGTAAATGTTTTCAAGTTATGGTTCCAGCCTGCAAGAACAGAAGTATATACGTACTTTTATGTGTCTTTGATCTGTTGACATTTTTCCCCCTGAATATTGGAAGAAATACAGGGAAAATTAAAACTACTACAGAGCCCATGGTAGTACTGCATGTCTGTTCACTAATGTCTGAACTTGCCTGCTATTGTCCTGGTGCGACTTTCTGTAGCGTGGCCGCTGCTGAGAAGAGACATTTCAGTCAAAATACTCAGGAGCACAGAAGCAAAGAGTCTTTCTTTTCAGTCTTGAATTGCTGGGAAGCTCTACTAAATGAATGCTTATAATAGGCATTTGGAATGCTTTTAGGTGAGAATTCATTTATGAACAAAAGTACTATATGCTCAGGGAGAGTTTTTTGGAATATGTATCCTCATTCATGTATTTCTCACTACAAGGTTTGTAAGGAGAAAAGAATGCATGTGATCCATGAAAATTTGAGTGATAAAAAACTAAATGAAAAAGTAATGGTATTGACTTCTCTCATTATTTTATGTTAAAGGAAACTTTTACATAATAGTCACATAATAGTGGGGTGAAAACATCTGTGGATGTACATCAAGTGGCGGCATAATAAGGAAAAATGAATGCACTTCATGGTGTGAGACAAGGGGAGAGGCACAACTGTAATCAGACTGAGGAGAGACCTCTGTTCCGTGCAGAACCCCACCGATAGAGTAGGGCTGTGAGTTCAGATCAAGCAGCACAGACTTCTGTCTCCCAGTAGATTTTGTGTGTGTTTGTGTGTGGGTTAAGAAATAAATAACAAAGGTGCTTGCATTGAGGGGCCATGTAAATTCCCAGCCACAGAAAATGCATCCAAGGAAAAAAACACTACTAACAAATAGCTACTAATAATAAAACATCAGTGAATTAATGGCCCTCTTTGGGGGTTCTCCCCTGACTATAAACTACTCTGATCGATTCCATTGTATGTTGCTTACTTGGTGCACTGAAAAGAAAAATGTAATTTTGAATGAGTCCCACAAATGTATGCCAAATGCTCCTGCTGCTTAGCCTGAGCAGACAGGATGGGTGGTGGGGAGGAGAACTGTAGACATACATTTTTTTAATGGTCCTCAGAACTGTTGAAATAACGGTCTTTTTGCCTGGCGTCTTGGACATAACCTAAACAATGTAGGGATCTCGAGTGTGTGCTTGCTTTTTTTATTTTTTTAATGGAAGTATAACATTTGCTACATCTTTACTATACTTTTGTTACTTCTATATCCAAGTGCAATGTGGTCCTTCTTTATTTAAATGATTTGGGGTGTGTGCGTGTTCGTTTTGTGTCTTTAGTGTTTTCCTTAATTGGCAACAGTCTTTTGAGAACAGTCACTGTCTTAATTCTTGCCTTTTTCTTCCTTTTAAGAAACTTGTACTGGACTGACTGGAACAGAGAAGCTCCTAAAATTGAAACCTCATACATGGATGGCACAAACAGAAGAATCCTTGTTAAAGATGATCTTGGGTTACCAAATGGGCTGACATTTGATCCTTATTCCTCAATGCTGTGCTGGGTAGATGCAGGTAAAGAGGTGCTAAAATCTATCTTCATAATAGTAGTAGAGTAAGTATGTCCGATCCTGAAGTGCTGCACAGCCAACTAATGTTTATAGCTCTTTGGGCTGCATCTTAGACTTCATACCTTTCTTTTTGGCTTTAATAATCTGTCACTTTATTTGTTGTTACTACCACTGTAGCATTCACATGAGACTGTGGCGCAAGCTGAAAGATTTCAATTCTGATCAGAAAACTTTCTTGGAATGCAACAGGTTTATATCTGTGTGTCTTGTACGTGGCTATCTCTTTAGGTAGTGCTTAGGCCTTTGTAGAAGTTGTGAGTTTAAGACCAGGAAAAAACACTGATTCATCTAATCCGGCCCTACAGAATATCATCCTTTCACTATTGTTCTAAGACCTGTAACCTCTTTTTAGGCAAAGTCTGGCTTATATTTGACTGAAGCAAGTCTTGAAAAAGCAATTCACGCTAGATCTAAAGATCAAGAGATGAAGGTTCTGCCACTGATCCATTGTTAGTTTTGTGTCAGTATCTTACCAGTAAAAGAAAAAATTGTGCTTTTAATTCTCATTTGAATTTTTTTTTTTTCATCTTGCTCTTTTTCTTACTGTAGACTCTGCCAGAGATCTCCTCCTGTGGAGGTGCTTTTACACTTCAAGTCACCTTTCAAGTTTTTGATAAACTAAAAAGATCGAGCTCTCTCTTTCACTGTAAGGCACTTTCTCCAGCCTTCAAATATATCTCCTTGTGCTATCTTTCTTTTCTCTTTCTCTTTTCCTCTCTTGTTCTTGCATTTCTCTTTTCCTTTTTCCCTAATTTTGAACCCACTACTTAAGAGAAACATACAGGTGCTTACATTCACTAGCAGTGTTCCTGACGTGTAGTAGCTTTACAGCTAGACCTTTTTACACACTATTTGCGTCTACAAGTTAGATGTTCTTCCTGTAGTCTTGCCTTCATGGCCCAACCCAGCAAGCATTTTGGGAACGTGGTCAACAAACTAACCTTGCAAAAATGCCTTCCAGAGGAGGTGAGACTGGTTAGTGGTTGAAGTATCCCTCCAGAATGGAGGAGACCTTCTGTCAGCTTCCACCCCAGCCTGAGGATGCTGGTATCTGTACCAGGAGTCTCAGCTTGTGAGCAATGGCCATGGCTGCACTGGACATCTGTGTTCCTGTAAGTTAGGTGGTGTGCTGATTAGCATTAGCACCAAAGTACTTTCCCATCCAATCTTTGGCACACGCAGAGATGTGGCATGGGGAGAGCTTTGGCTAAGCTGCATACTGAAAGACTTCCAGGAAGTTTTACTCTGTTCATGCTTGCATGCTTACGCTTCATCCCTCGTGAGAGCTCTCTTGCTCTGGTTCAAAGGCTTAATTGTTTCACTACACCCAGGTACCAAGAGGCTGGAATGCATGAACCCTAATCAGCTTGGTCGACGAAAGATTGTTGAAGGAATTCAGTATCCTTTTAGTGTTACAAGCTATGGGAAGAATCTATATTACACAGACTGGAGAAGGTATGTTATCTGCTAAAGAAATTATGGAGTGCTTTAATCTGTTCTTCACCCTGGTAGGAACTGAAGTATATACTGCGCTTCTCATGTCAGACCTCTCACACATTCCTAGTTTTTTGCTTTCCCGGCAATAGCTGATGCAGGGCAGAGTGGATCTGTAGAGTTGACCTATTGATGTTGCTAATTAACTGAGTTTTCATTTCCAGCATAATGATTTGTCTGCTAAGAAAATGCTTTCAACACTGAACATTTTTTGGAAAGGAGTGGGAGCTAACATGTTTCCCTTATGGCTGTACTTGTTGCATTGTAGAGGGCAGAAATTAGTCACTCAAGGCTTTCTATGCCCTATGTTATCTGAATGTTCAACCAGAAATAAGGAAACAAAACATTTTTACTGTCTTGATGACACTCTTTGTTGCAAATGATCTAAAACATTGACGTATGATCAAGACTTTATAGTTTACTATATTTTCCAGAAAAAAATCCAGTCTATGCACTTTTAAATATTTATTTTTCCTTGAGGCAAATGGTTGTGTGGGCTCTATCTGCAAACTCTTACACAAATGACTCCATCAATTGCAGCAGGAAGAGCTATTAACGTGTGTAAGGATTTCCAAGCTAGAACCTAACAGCTGGGAAATGTTATTCTAGAACAAGCTTTTATAAATGGGAAACAATGTATTACAGATCTGTCAGTTAACTGCCCTTTTACTTTTAGGAAGAAAAGGTTGCTTATGACTAGCTGTATTCCTTCTGGATATCAGGCTCCACCTGAAGTACAACACTGCAGCTATTATGCATGATGATTATGGACAATGTCAGCTATACCACAGAAAATGTCAAAGGGGCAGAATATGGAGAATGTGTCAAAACTACTAACAGATGTGCTCCTATAGAGGGACATTGTCCTGTGTTGAAAGTACCTTCAAAATTAGTAAGGTGGCTTCCTGCTAATTTTCTTAGCTGCCTAGAATGAGGGTTATGACATATTTGGGTTGCCCAGGAAAGATGAGGTCGTGGAGCATTTTGCTTCTGGCATCACTTCCTAATTGTAAAAAAGAAGCCGCTTCAGATTTCTTCCTTGTTTGTTTGTTTTGTTTTCCCCTGTAGTTCCACCTTCATCTAACTTCTGCATATTCTCTTCTGCATACGACAGGGATGCTGTTGTAGCAGTGGATCGCACAATTTCAATAGAAAAGGATAACTTCCAGCCTCACAAGCGCTCCCGTCTCTATGGAATTACTACAGCCTTTGCTCAGTGCCCAGGAGGTAATCCAGATAATCCTCAAGTTTTTACAGCTGTGCAACACCTTAGCATATAAATTAACTTAGTAGAAGTCCCCATTGACAGGCTGCCAACTGATCTAGGTAGTTAGCGAAGAACTGGTTATTGCTTAGATTTCCATTTACTGAGAAATTAAAAGCCACCTAATTATTTTTTTTCTTCATAAAAGCAATTGTTGTGGTTGCCATATGAAACCAGAGTAGGGAGGGAAGAAGGGGGGCCTGTTCTATCCTTTATGAAAGGACAAGTGTATGATCAAGATGAGGATCTGACGTGGCAAAAGCTACTATGCTGTCATCTAAATTGAATGCTATATTCATGGCTAGGGCCTTACTTATTTTTAAGTTTAAACTACAGAAATATCATGGTCTTCCAGATGTCCTTAATGAGATCCAGTGTTTTTAAAAAGGGAATGTTCAGAAAACAGCAGGTGGTGGGGTGGGTGGGCTAGTCTTTCTGCTCCGTTGAATGTTAAGTTTTTCAGATACATTACTGAAAAGCCCCTTGTGAAGCTTAGAAGAGAGGAAGTTGATACCCTTGAAATAACAATTTGTTCTTTGGGAAGCAGTATCACTGTTGAGTTATGTTGTTCTTAGCAAATCACAGTTAGGAGAAGAGTTCACTTTCTATTATTACAACGTGGCTGGAATTATAGGAGTTGTAGTGATTTTACTTTAGGCCTAAAAAACCCGTAAGGTAGTTTCTCTTCAAATTATTCAAAATATATATATAGTAAAACCCATAATTTAATTTAATTGAAAGCTTGGTTCAGAGCTTAAGAAATGCACATAAATGTCATCATTAAGAATTCAGTTACGTTGTTATTACTACTTAATTCACAGTTCCATTGTGGTAGCCAGTGTAAAACAAAACAACATTGTGTGCTCTGAGTAAATGCCTATGTTTAATATTCAGAACCTTGGTATCATTTCTTTCTCATCATATGTCTATTTCAAGTGTTTTTCTTTTTCTCGGATGGATGCCTTTCCCCTCAGATCCACTGCTTCTTGTGCTGTATTCTCTCTCTTTCATTTTACCCTTCAACATTAATGTGCTCCTCCCCACCCACCTGATTTTTTTTGTTTTCGTGGGTCATTCCTCCATGTTTTTGTAGTGGGTGGTATCCAGGGATGATGTCCGGTAGCATTTTGGACTTTGTCCCCATGTGTTGCACTTTCTGTATTTCCTCACTCACTGTCTCTTTATTCTAATGCCTGTGACCACTTGGCCAATTTATGAAGGGTATTTCAAGAACAGCCCAGTTTTTCATGTTGCCTCTCCAGCTCTGCCCTGATATCCTGATCTGTCTTTGGGGTGAATATCAGAAGCTGACACAAGGGATGTGATGACTCTCATCTCCCCAAAGCATAGTTTTGTTCCACTCCCAATCTCGTTATGGCTTGTTTCTCTAGTACAGTCATGAAATCTGCACTTCTTTTGTTATGTGTGTGTTTTGGATTTTATTGTGGTTTTGCTTTGGTTTTTCTTTAACATTTTACATCTCTGTTCTTTTCCAGGACATAACTACTGTACAGTGAATAATGGTGGTTGTACTCATCTCTGCTTGGCTACCCCAGGAGGCCGTTCCTGCCGCTGCCCTGACAACACAGTTGGAGTGGATTGTATAGAAAGAAACTGAGCATTAAAATAAGCTTTAGAGCAGCAGACACCTTTCGGAAATGTGCTGTAAACAATTCACTCCTATCAACACAATCAGGCCCTAAAGATAAGTGCTCCATGCTGCTGACAGCAAGCCACAATGCACATATGCAGACACACACACACACACAGAGGCAATGACTGTTTTGTAGCAGTTAGGCAAGACAGAGCTGCCCAGGTTGCGTCCAGCTGCATCTTGTTCCTTGTAATGTTAGCTCTTTGCTTTTAAAGGTAAATGTGGAGGCCTTAGTTGCACCTGTGCTGGGCTAGGAGGAAGTGTCTCTTGGCAAAATTAAAGTAACAAATACCTAACAGAGTAAAGAGGATGGCATGACTCAAATCCTGAGACTGGGTTGCACCTTGGAGCATGCAGCAGTTATCTGCATAGTGGCGTGCTCAGCCCATCATATATGCGGCTGGGCCATATCTCTAGCTGAGAAGCAACCAGGGGGTCCCAAGGATGAACAGATGTGGGTGGGAACACCCAGTAATATCACAGATCTAATGCCTAACTGCATTCCTTCCCACTACCAGTCCTTCCACTTCCAAAACTTGAATCTCAACTTTTGACTCTTGTATTACGGAAATACTTTATCCATGTGCTGTGAGGGTAGTTCTCACCCTGGCTCATGTGATCCTTTCCCACAGCATGTGATTCTTTATAGATAATCAGCACTGCTTAATGGATGTATTTGAAGTTTTTGCTGGATTTTGAGATTTATTTTTTCTTCTGTCTGGGATGGATTCCTGAGTAGTTTCCTAAAATCCACTAAACAAACTTTAGATATAGATCTCAATTGCTGATAGTTCATCAAAGAATGGATGTTGATTCATTTGGAGGTGTTCAGTTTTAGAGAAACACAGTCACATTTGTTTCCTGAGAGCTTTTAAAATAGTATTTCTATGTTTGATTCTGTAAGCCTGAAAGAGGTCTTTGAATCCTGTCCTAGACATCTTTCTTCTTTAGCAAACCATGCCATGCCTCTTCTTAGGCCATGAGAAACTATGGCAGTTAAAAACCTGATTTCCAGAAAGGTCGCCTGTGTCTTGGTGCTTAAAAGAAAAAAGATGGTGATGCCCCATTTGTGTGCCAATGTTCAGTAAGAGCAAAAAGGTGTGCTGAAAATCAAAGCAGTAAGTTTGGAGTGGGGAAGGAAAATCAAAATGCATATTCTTATGTCAGATTAGCAGTACAAATCTGGGAGTGAAGTTTGGCTTCCACACTGTCTGTTGGGAAGGAAGCTTACCTGCAAGGCAACCTGCAGCAGCAGAAAAAAACAGGGCTTGTGAGCCTTCTGCCAGAACACATTTTACAATGTCATGATCAGAGCAGTAGGCTAACATCCCCATTTCCTCACTCCCTCTTCAGACACTACAGTAACAGTTTTAAACAGAGCCAATTGAGTCTTAACTGTGTGACATCTTCCTCTTTAATTGTATATTTATCATAAAATAACAAACCATATAAACATTTTAAAGATTTTTTTAAAATAACTTTTTATAACTTTTAATTCATTTTATTCATACACGTAATCAGGTATGTCTTACTGTAAATATCAAAAATGTGTTGAAATGAAGGTGCTTGATAACTCTTTCTCCAGAATTATTCACTTATCTGGTGAAATATTAAAGTTTACACTCTGTACAGGTATCTACAGTACAGTCAATAAAGCTTTTTGGTTTTTATTTTCTATAAAAAAAGTCATGCCTTCAGAAGGAAGTGATATGCGGTGTCTCAAATCTCTTTTCCTGTTGAGTTCTGGGTTTTCGCTAACTCGCATATCTAGTGATGATGCTTCTCTTCTAAGATGCAACACTATAGGGGGAAAAAACTGCTGCTGGGGCTATTTTATTTTGAAACCAGTAGGATACTTTTTATTCAAAGCAAATATGGGAGAGTGCTTAAAGAACGTACAGCTTCCTCTGTTTTGATACAGAGTTTTTACTGGTTGTTAACTCTTGTTAAACTTTGTCAGGTAAGCGTATTTCAGTTATACCATACTTCAGACTTCTACGTTAGCAGAAATATAGGGCAAGGACTAGATTAAATGGAGGACAGAACTTACCCCTCTGCTTGAAGATGCCCTGGTGCCGAGTTTCTGGGTGACAGGGTTCTTTGCTGCCTGGTGCCACAGCACGCAGGCTCTCTGTGGCTGCAGGCGTGCTGTGGCTGCGGGGAAAGCTGCAAGCCGAGTGAAGTGTGGCGTGTTGAAGGTGGTGATGCTGAGATTTAAACTCGACTTTTACAGCTACAGCATGTCAGTGCCTCAGGGGGATGGCAAAAGGCTCTGTAGTACTGTGTAGATGGACAGCTGGAGAACAGTGTGCCTGTCAAGTGAGCCATTGGGAAGGTGGACAGTGGGTCAGCAAGGAGAGCTACTGGGATCTAAAGGGTGGTGTGTGGAGTTACAGGAGAAGATTGGTGTTGATCCATACTGGGGACTACACATGGAATTGGAAGGAATTGGGCCTTTAGTTTGTTCTTTACTGTATGCTTCAATTTTTTTTATTCTGATCCTTTAAAATTGATGATTGCCTGCTTTGTATTTGGATGAACACAGTATTCCTCTTTGTGCGTTGTGACAATTACTAATTTACTGGACGCCAGTCAGCTAATTCTGTGCTAAGCAATGACAAAGATGTCATACACCTCAGCAGAGCTTCTAGTGTTAATGCGTGAGCTCCTATGTAGTCTGTAGGGCAAAGAGAGAAATGATACTACTGTGGACTGAGTTTTTAGACTGAGTGAGTCTCCGTTAATTCTGGTATCATACCTGAAGGTAGCCAGCACTAGATTGGGGGAAGCTTCAGCAGATCTGTGCCCGCAGTGTAGATGTGGCAGTTTGCACAACTTCAAAGCAACCTTCAGCATTCCAGTCCCTAAAAATGAGGACCATGAGTTTAAACATCAGGTTTTGTTTCTCAGCAAATACTTGTTGCTAGCTTCAGCTGTTGTAGCTCTATGTCAGAGTGCAGCAAGGGCAAAGCTGTTCCCTCAGGGAAAGGAGGCCAGCAGAAGCCGTGGCTTCACCAGCAAGGGACCAGTCCCACCAAGTTTGGGGGACTTCAACTTCACGGACGTCTGCTGGAAATACAACACGGCAGAGAGGAAACAGTCTAGGAGGTTCCTGGAGTGTGTGGAAGACAACTTCCTGACACAGCTGGTAAGTGAGCCTACCAGGGGAGGTGCCTCGCTTGACCTGCTGTTTACAAACAGAAGGACTGGTGGGAGATGTGGTGGTCGGAGGCCGTCTTGGGCTTAATGACCATGAAATGATAGAATTCTCAATTCTCGGTGAAGTAAGGAGGGGGGGCAGCAAAACCGCAACCA